AAAGGGAGAAAGAAGAAAAAGGGGGGGAGGGGGAGCAGAGCGGAGCAGAGCAGAGCGGCGGAACGCGCAGCCAGCTGACAGCCCAGACGCTTCTGGGCTGTCAGCTGGCCGCGCGTTCCGCCGCTCTGCTTCCTCTCCCTGGTCTGCTGGAGACCAGGGAGAGGAAATGCCCCGTTCGTAACTGCGGATCCGACGTAAGTCGGATCCGTGTAACTCGGGGACTGCCTGTATACATGTGCTTTAAACTTCATTGAGGCCTCAAGCAGGTATTCAACTTCAATTTGAAATCAATGGAACTATTAATGAGTGGCGTATTTGCTTGCTTAGTTAAAAATATGTATGAAGACAAAAGTAGAATTTGCCCCAATGCTAAAAAAAAAAAGTAGTGGCATAAGATCTGTCACTTCAGAAGTAAGTTGCTTTAGCGTTAATGAGAAGCTAAACATTCAATATTAGTTAGGGATGTAAAAATGTAACCATGTAACTACTAAAAATCATAGTGGTTATACACGCTGTGGGCACTGCAGTGTAATAGTTTAAATAAGCTTTATAGTTCAGAGCCTGCAGCAAAGCCTCCTTTGGAGTGAGACTGGCAGGGGCTGCCTGTTAGTCCTGCTCCTGGGCTGTGTCTAGACTACATGCCTCTGCCAGCAGAGGCATGTAGATTAGACAGATCGGCAGAGGGAAATGAAGCCACTATTTAAATTTAAATGGCTGCCCCGCTCTGCTTATCAGCTGTTTGGCGGCAGAGGGGGGCAGTCTAGACGTTCCCCTGTCGACAGAAAACCCTTTTGTTGTCCGCCCCGTTATGCCTCGTGGGATGAGGTTTACCGGAGCGGTCGACAAAAGGGTTTTCTGTCGACAGGGGAACGTCTAGACTGCCCCGCTCTGCTGACAAACAGCTGATAAGCAGAGCGGGGCAGCCATTTAAATTTAAATGAAGCCGCGATTATTTAAATCGCAGCTTCATTTCCCTCTGCCGATCTGTCTAATCTACATGCCTCTGCCGACAGAGGCATGTAGTCTAGACACAGCCCTGGAGAGGCTCTGCTCCCAAGGAACCAGCATAGAACCTGTGGCAGGGGCTGAGCCAGCTGGGCCCACAACAGACAGGTGAACCTTTTACATCTCTAATATTAGTTATTGTGGACTTTTTTCAAATACACACAAGATCAAGTATGCAAAATTCCGGCCGGGGGTTCAGCAACACAGTCCTATTTGGGTAGTGAAAGTTGGGATTACCAAGGAGGCTTCAGTGATCCAAGGCTACTTTACTCCTGAATGAAAGGGAGGGATGCACTTGAACATCACACATTTAATTAATTTGCTTTAATTTTCATGACTGTCCATATACAGATGTGCCCTTAGGGATGTCTCTACACTGCAATTAAAACCCCGGGGCTACTCTATGCCAGCTGACTCTGGTTCCAGGTAGGGAAGGGATATTAAATTTAGATTAACTAATTGAATAGTCGATGGAATTTCCATCAACTGTTTGATTAGTCAATAAAGGCGCCTCCACTTTTGAATTGTAGCAAGAGCCCTGCTGGGATGCCGAAACCCCACAGGGGACTGGCCCCACACTCCCTGCGTCACCTGAGCCTTTAAAATATGCAAGAGCCCTAGCAGAGCACATTTCAAAAGGAAGCTCCACTGGGAGCACAGGAGTTTCTGCTTTTAAGCTTATGCTTATCAGATAATCAACTAGTTGCTTATGTCTTTAGTTCTGGGGCTATTTAATTGCAGTGTGGATGTTGTGGCTTGAGCTGCAGCCCACATTCTTGGACTCTCCCACCTCACAGGAAACTAAAGAAATGGTGTATTTCATGTCCAATCGAGCAATTTACAATCTAATTTTAAAGTTTCAAATGTGAAAGTGAGTTATTTTAATTTAGCCTGCACTTGAAGACGCATGCACAGTCTGCAATTTATTGAATTCTTCTACCTTGCCACTTAAGTCCAACAGTCCTTGCAATACAGTGCCAATGAAAATATTCTCAGTGCATAGCACATGACACAAGGTTTCAGTGTTTAGTTTCTCAATAGTCAGCTGATTGACAGACTCTCTCAAGACTTGTTTTTTGCACAAAAACCCCCACAAGTCTAGATATGCTATTTAAGACATGTGACCCTGCCGGACAGGAAGCTGGAAAAAGTCAAATGACAAGAAGGCATCTCAGTTCAAAGCAGTACTGGAGTCAGCTGTAAGATATCACACTAGCAATGGTGGGGTGTTTACAGTTTACATGATTGGTCTATGCCTATTTTTCTTAAGGTAAAAATTGTATTGCACACAATTCCTTTAGGGGAAGATTTTCCAACAGCTCAAGAGGAGTTAGAGTCAAAGAATCTTTTCAATTCATTTGCATTTATTCAAACTGCTGCAGAAATTCCAAC